ATTCTATCATCATTTACTCACCCTCAAGTTGTTCCAAACCTGTATGAATTTCTTTCTTCTGATGAACACACACACACAAAAAAATATATATTTTGAAGAATGTTGGTAACCAAACTGCTGGTTGCTGGTAGTCACTGACTTCCATAGTTTTTATTTTATTTATTTATTTATTTATTTTTCTATATTATGGAAGTCAATGGAGACCAGAAACTGTGTGGTCTTCAAAATATCTTCTTTTGTGCTCAGCAGAAGAAGAAAAAAATTATGTAGGTTTAAAACACCATTAGGGTAAATAAATGACAGAATTTACATTTTTGGGTGAACTATCCCTTTAAGAATAATTGTAACGCTCGGGATTAATACACTTGTGCTCTGTTCATATGCAATGGTGAACAAGACGCCAGGTTGAGGGGAAAGCAGGTCACAGCTGTGGCAATACACATCATGTCCTCGGTGTAAACTTGCAGACTAATAAATCTGCAACAAACACACTTTCACTAATTAAAGCCATACATTAGATATCATACATATCATATCATGTATATGGTTAAGCTAGTATTTAACAAGAGTTTAACTCACTCTGGTGAGGTTTTTTTAGGGTTGTTCATGGATTCAAACAGTTAGATTCAGTTATTTGGTCAGAACGACACAAACACATTGCAAGAACAATGACTTTGTTGTGCAAACCTGCTGTTTAGACAGATACAGTAGTAGCACGTACATGTTGACAGTTTAGTTTTCACTAGATTGCCATTCAATGTATCTCCTCCATGTGAATTTAAACACTTGTTATTGCACATTTGTAATAATGAAGTTGCATTTAGTACATTTCAAATATATTACCTTTATATGTACTATCGAATAACACACTACAGTTGAAATTTTAAACAAATACTATATAGTATGCTTTAGTATGTTAGTCATCACATCAAAACAAGTATACGTCTTTAAAACATGACTTAAAAGATTTAGTTTAAAGTAGTCAACAATTTGACATTATTACAAAAAGCATGTTTTAAAAGTGTACTTAAGTGTGTTAAGAGACAGTCGTGAAAGTTAACTCTTTAAGTACACTTAAGTGGCCTTTAATTCAATTAATATCATATTTTCTGCAAGTACAGTTTTTTTATATATATATATATATACTTTCAAGTTTTGAAGTATACTACAAGTGCTCATTCATTAGGTCTACAGCTGCACACTTCTTTTTCACACAGGCATCTTAGACTTTCTGAAGTTTGTTTGATGGAAGAAAGAAAGTCATGTAGATTTGACACGTAGAGCCAGAGAATATATGAAATTTGCCTCAGTGGGAGTGAAATGATATTTCATGCAGGCTTACACATGCATGAGTTGGCAACTGTTCAAATCACAAATTGTTGCAAGTTACCTTGATATAACTTCTAAGTTATTGAAATCATACAGAGGCATAACGCTAAACAGCTTCTGTGTCCGTTTCTCAAAATCATTCATTTGATGCCACAAGATAGCGCCAGTGAGTCCTACATAAACATGACTGAGTGGAATCAAGACTTCATCTTTCCACAGTATAGTTTATTGTACAGTATAACTAATATTAATGTAATATATGCAATCTAATGTGACTTTTATTCAATCTCCAGGTCATAGTCATCAGATTTTGCAAACGAATGACCTCTCTATGGCTACATAATCCATTTTTCTGTAGATCTCCAATACAAATACACCATGAGGACAGCAAATGATGAAATCAGGACCCAGATAGCATTCACCGTCGTCCATAGCAGACAGTAGATATGACATGAAAACATATGGGCTAAATTTTCACTATGTATGTTTACAACTGGAGGGAATTATGGAAATGTTTTTGTGGTTAACATTTGGAAAAACAGACGTCTCTTGCTAAAATCGAGCAAATAATCATTATATTTACCAATACGTTATTGATTTGCTGGTACTAACACTGATTTGAACGACAATTATGTTCAAAATACCCATAAAATAGCTGCCTTTACTAGGTGTCTGCTGGATGTTTTTAATATATGGCTGTTCTGAAGTTCCTTTTTGTTGTGGCTTAGAACATTTCAATCAAATTAACTTTCAGTTACTATCTGAAACTGTACTTAGCTTTCACTGGAGCTAATATCCCCTTCAAAAGCAGTACCAATGTCCCGCTCACTACAGTAGATCATTCTAACACTGTAATTACCCTGCTACAGGAAGAGATGCTTGCAGTGCCTGATGGGATATTTAATCATCCTGAAGAGGAAGAGTAGTACATTGCCCACATGCTCGTGGCATTTCCAGACCCACCCAAGCAATATAAAATATGAAGGTCAGAGCTGCGTCATTGGTTTTTAGCAGCTGGACTCCATCTGTTGATGTAAATGAACCATAAAATAGCGGACTCTATGTTGTCAGCAAGGTCACTGAGCAAAAATCTTGATGGCACAAGTTCACTATTAAACGCAAACTATATATATAAACTATAGATACTATTAAACAGTTTATTCACACTATCTCAAAAGGTTGGGCTCGGTAAGATTGTTTAATGTTCTTGAAATAAATCTCTTCTGCTCAACAAGGCTGCATTTATTTGATCAAAAATACAGTAAATACAGTGCAGTAATATTGTGAAATAATATCACAATTTAAAAGAACTATTTTCTGTTTTAATATGTTGTCTATATTTAATATATTGTAATAATATATTGTAAAATGCAATTTATTGCTATGATGGAAAAGTTGCATTTTCAGCAGCATTGCTCCAGTCTTCAGTGTCACATGATCCTTCAGAAATCATTCTGATATGCTGACTTGCTGCTCAAGAAACATTTCTGATTATTAAAGGGGTCATATGATGCGATTTCAAGTTTCCCTTTGTCTTTGGAGTGTTACAAGCTGTTCGTAAATAGATAAGATCCCTAAAGTTGCAAAAACTAAAGTCTCAAACCCAAAGAGATATTCTTTATAAAAGTTAAGACTCGTCCACGCCCCCCTAAAATGGCTTGTTCTAACACGCCCCCACATGTCTATCTCACTATGTGGGAAGATTTGCATAACGCTGCCCAAATGTTCACACAAAGAAAGAAGGCGTAACTTTGATTCTCGCTGTAGTATTGTTGCTGCCGCCACCATGTTGTGAAGACGCTGTGTGTTTCATTGCGAAAGCAAAAATACTTTGTTTGGTCTTCCAAAAAAAAGAACACAACTAGAAATCAGTGGTTACGTTGTTATTTACAACACTGTTCCACTGATGTGTGCAGTGCATTTTACGGAGGACTGTTTCCTGATCCTGGTAGAGTAGCCTAATTCGTCTGTGCACAAAGGCTGTTTCTGTAAAGTGGGGCAATTCCAACTTTGCAAGGACAGTCTGGCGCTTCTGACTCACAGCCTGTAAGTATGAGTGAGTGAGTGACGTGACATGTGGCATGACATGTGACGTGACATGAATTAGTGCTCTGCTATGCTTTGTAGTGGAATAACTGGACTCTTTCTGTCCAAAAATCATTCAGTCTTTGGAACGTTTTGACCAAGATTTTCAGAAACAAATCCTTTGAACTGAGTGTCATCTATCACTTCGTCTGGGGAAACAATAATTTGCTGCAAAATGTCTTTCCTAAACAACATTTCTTATATAATTCAATTTAGGTTTTAAATTGGTTACAAATAGTAGGTCACGTCCAACCCTTAGTCTTACTTTACAGTTAACAATAAAGGTCCCAGAAAGGTGATTTTCATAGTGATATCATAGGTGAACTATATTGGGTTCTACACCTTTAAAATAAAAATAAAAGCTTTAAAATAGCTTTTTTTAAAGAACATTTTAATGATTTAAAGACCTTTCTACTATATAGCACCTTTTTTGGAAATGTAAAAGTTCCAAGGATGTTAAAAGAACCATTGATGCGAAAATTTGGAATATAGCTCACAAGATGCCTTTTTGGAGCTTGACAGCTCTTGGTCTCCATCCACTTTGACTGAATGGAAAAGAGCAGTGTGAACATTCTTCAAAATTACTTATTTTGTGTTCCACAGGAGAAAGACAGTCTTGGAACAGGTTCTATTGATCGAAGTATATAACTTTGGGGGGAACTATTCGTTTTAAAGGGGTCTTATGATGAGATTTCAAGTTTTCCTTTCTCTTTGGAGTGTTACAAGCTGTTCGTGAATAGATCCCTAAAGTTGCAAAGACTAAAGTCTCAAACCCATATTTAAAGGATTTGCCACTGACGATTCAAACGTGAGTTTTGGGCAGTGTAGAGTAGCACTTGTTGTTTGTCATTTTTCCAATCACAAATGCAAACATGGTTTTATGTTTACGCGGCGCGTTATGCAACGCAACGTGTAAAAAGACAGTATAAGTCATTATAATCCGTAATTATGTCCCCACTGGATGCAACAAATGCCTCGTTTATAATGGGTTTTATTGTTTTTGTCTCGTCGCTCCGGCCGGAACACGGCATTACAGTATGGTAGGGGCGTAACATTTCCGTCACACGCTTGAGGAATTTGGACAATCACAACACACTGGATAGCTGGCCAATCAGAGCACACCTCGCTTTTCAGACCAATGAGCTTTGTAAAAATCGACGCGTTTCAGAAAGGCAGGGCATAGAGGAGAAACAATAATGTACAGTATGTGGAAAATAATGTGTTTTTTTTTACCTTAAACCGCATAAACACATTTCATTACACCAAATACACAAAATAATGTTCTTTTTAGCAACATCATATGACCCCTTTAAGTTTTGGTGACATGAATCATTTACATTTACATTTATTCATTTGACAGACGCTTTTATCCAAAGCGACTTACAGTTGAGGAACACAACAAGCGATGTATCATAAGATGGCAATAAACACGAGAGGTGCCTGTTATAAAAGGTTTCAGTCATCATTCAAAATAGTAAAAAGCTAGTACAGGAGGATAATTAGAGAACAGAAAAAGTGAAGGCATAGAATTTGTTTTTAATAATAATTTAAACTAGTACAATGTTGCCAATCTGGTGACTGTTCAGCATCTGACTCTTGTGTGTCTTCTGATTGCAGGCCTCAGGAACACCAGCCAACCAATAACCCCAACGCATCCAAGTTTGCTCAAAAGTTTGGCGGCTCTGATAATTGTCCTCGGTGTAGCAAGGCCGTCTACGCAGCTGAAAAAGTCATAGGGGCAGGAAATGTAAGACAAAAGCAGAAACGACAGGAGGAAATGCTGTCATGACACACCAAAATTAACTAAGCCTGGTCTTCATTGAGCGACTGGTTTTCTTCTCTGCAGGCATGGCACAGGGGTTGTTTCCGATGTGCAAAGTGCGGCAAGGGGCTGGAATCTACAACTTTAGCCGACAAGGATGGTGAAATCTACTGCAAAGGCAGAGTATCCAATGTTATCCTGTCTCTTTTTAGTGATTCATGCCAAGCAACCACCTAGAAAACACTCAGAACATGTTAGCAACAATACAGCAGCTTGAGCTGGGTTGACACTATTGATTAATTGATTTGAATCAATCTTCATTTTCATGAACAGATTTCCTAAATCCCAAGATCATTTTGTGAGTCTATGCTGTCAATGTTTCTGCTTATGCGTTAACAAAACTTCACTAAACATCACTTGTAGTCTGATTCCCATCCAATAATCGCAATAAGTTACTCAATAATTACAAAGTCTGTGCTTTATAATTCTGTCATTTTTATCACAAACGGTTAAATCTTGTAATGGTTTTGATGGTTATAATTGGTATTGTTGTATTGGCTTATATTGGTTTTAATGGAAACTGAAATTGTCCCTGTGGTTCTCTACTTGTAATTTGTTGCCTTCTATTGGTAGCATGTTAGAACCGCTAAATCCTAATGGAATATGGCCCAAAACACTCTACTGGACAGGATTACTAGGTCTGTGTAACAAAACCAGCCCAAAGGTCAATCAAAAATAGCCCCCAAAAAGCCCAACAACCCTATCCAAATATCAAAACTCAACATATGCCACTCCCATACCTAAAATACATATTTGACAATCACTTTTATGCGTTATACACAATTTCACTTTGAAAACCAGTATCATTAATCATAAACAGTCTGTTTTCATAACCCCTCCCCCTCCCAAAACTCATAATCTAGCTGTTTTATCATTAGAATGTAATTAGAATGTAAAATATGTCAATACACGCATTACAGTCAATTACAATTTATGCAATATGTCAAATCTTTACACCGCTGGAAAAAAATCAACCCACGGAAGCAGGTTACAAGTAGCCCAATTCTGTGAGAAAACCGTGAACTTGGCAACCCTGCTACTGGAGGTCGTTAGGTAATGTTTTAATGGTTAACAGTTGATGGTTTGTAATGTTTCCACAACAAATACCATTACAAACCATTAGAACGTCTATGATGGTTTCTATTTTTGTTAGACCACAGGAAAGCCATCCAATAACCATAACTCAACAACTAACTCTATAGAGGAGCATTTTTTAGCATCATTACTCCAGTCTTCAGTGTCACATGATCCTTCAGAAATCATTCTGATATTCTAAGAAACATTTCTCATCAGTGTTTAAAATAGTTGTGCTGCTTTTATTTCTGTAGAAATTGTGCTACTTTTTCAGTAGTCTTTGATTAGCATCCTAAATAGATGAATTCATTTCTTTTTTTTAAATATCTTCCTGACCTCAAACTTTTGAACCATAGTGTATATTGTATGACTTATCTAAATGACATATTAACTATTGTTTCATATACGCCATTTATATATACCATTTATGAGGCATTGTTTTGATTAAAATTTTCTGTATTAACTTGACCAAACATTCACCAAACAATCAAGTGGTCATATGAATTATTCATATAAAACTCTCATTGTCGACTGATTCGACATGCGTCAATGTTCTCTGCTTGTGTTGCATGTGAAAGGTTATTTGTAAAGTGAGTAGCACGTAACCACATTCCTTTCGCATTATCTCAATGACGTGTGCTAAGTTCATAACCTAATCATTTTACAATTTTAGAAATGTACTATGAGTCTCTCTCTTATTGAGTTTCATTGTGACTGAAAGATGAACTATCTGACACTTACAGTCAGGTCGCTTCCTCTTGGGAAGTACCCGATAATCCTTTAAAAAGTCATAAACATTTCATTGGTTAAAAACATCGAGCTCTGCTGATTGTGTACAGAACATCACCCTGACTACTGCTGTATTTCTAGATACAATGCACATTATAAGTTATAGTGAAAATCAAAAAGACGCTTTGAGATGTCCATGCATGACATCACATTTGAATAGTTATGCTTATTATATTTGTCAACCAAAAAAGAAGGAGTTTTATGTTGCATTATTTTACATTGTTCCTGGATATGCCAGTTTCAATGAACATCATGTGGCCTGTTTTGTCACATCTACTACTTTTTTTTTATTATATTTGTTTTTATTTCATTCAGGATCCATATATATTAAAGGAATAGTGCACTCAAAAATGAAAATTTACTGAAATTGTACTCAAGCCATCCATTCTATCTCTTCCTCAGAACAGATTTGGAGAAATGTAGCATTGCATCACTTGCTCACCAGTGGATGCTCTGCAGTGAATGGGTGCCGTCAGAATGAGAGTCCAAACAGCTGATAAAAACATCACAATAATCCACACCACTCCAGTCTATCAGTTAATATCTTGTGAAGTGAAAAGCTGCGTGTTTGTAGCAAACAAGTCCGTCACTAAAGTGTTTTACCTTTAAACCATTGCTTCTGATCTGTGCATATTTCTCTTCCAATTCAGACGAGATGGTTTTCCACTACAGAAAGCAACAGAGGGCTTGTATTTTAGCCAAAAGCAACTGTTTGAGGTTATAAACATCCTAATGATGGATTTATTTCTTACAAACACACAGCTTTTCACTTCACAAGACACTAACTGATGGACTGGAGTGGAGTGGATTACTTGTGGATTATTGTGATGTTTTTATCAGCTGTTTGGACTCTCATTCTGACGGCACCCATTCACTGCAGAGGATCCACTGGTGAGCAAGTGATGCAATGCTGCATTTCTCCAAATCTGTTCCCATGAAGAAACAAACTCATCTACATCTTGGATGTCCTGAGGATGAGTACATTTTCAGCAAATGTTCATTTCTGAGTGAACTATTCCAAGCAGATTTAAGTTAAATAGGTTTTTCTTTTTCTTTTTTATTAGCTTCTGATACAGTTACGCATCACTGCAGTACACCGGCTTGGTTAAACTTTTCACCTGAAACAGAAAAGTGAAATTAATGACTGAGATATGATCAATCTGTCAAACATTACAAACAGAATTCACAGTGCTGTGTGGGAGTAACATTGTTCATGTTACAAGCTGTCTGCGTGTAATGACTGTTGAACTGAGGGAAGGAAAAGAGCCCCTGCCAAATCTAGCATTAACATGAACCACCTACACACATTCCATCTGTGAAAGAAAGACAGGCAAATATTTTGAAATGATACAGGCATTAACATAGGTTTCATTCATAGCGTTAAAATCTTGCTGTAGCGTGCATTATTTGTAGCAAGTGGATGAATGTTCATCACAAATCTTTAATAATACAAGGTACATCTTTCCAGTGATTGTCAGACCAGTGACATTGGTTCCAATACGTGCAGATGACCTAAATGTTTTAATTAAATGTGTGGCATGTGTGAAACAACACAGCATGGACCCTTCGAATTAGGTTTCAAATGCTAAGAAGAGGTAAAGATTGTCCTCTAGTGGACAGAATGCAAAATAGAATAATGTCTCAGCTATGAAAAGAGCACCTATTTCCCACGACCAACAGTGACTTTCGAAGATGTTCATCATTCCATTTTAGTTGTATCAGTGAAGAAGACAACACTATCGGATGAGTTTCGCTTCCTGAGACACAAGATAAAGAGCTTTCAGTCCACCAATGTTTTGAACCGAATCACAAGACTCATCAGTTTTTCTCAGTAAATTCATGATTTGATCATATTTGAACAACTAAACACCAAATACTGAATAAAGCGACAACATGTCATATATATATATTTTTTCTTTTCTTTTTAGTGTTATCTTAACTATGCACTTGCTGTTGTGCACAGTATGCATGATACGTAGCCTATATGATTATTTTATAGACCTTATGCGCCAGAGAAGCACGCAGCCATCTTTAGAATTTTATCTTTGAACTTCAGGTTTGGGTGTAGCTCTATAGCATCGCTGTTGAAGAGTAATTATAGCTGGTGAAGTGGATTTACTTTGCATATTGTAGTGGAAACTAAAGTTATAACGAGCATTGTAATGTTGCAGGCAGATGTCAAAACGACACTCTAAAAAAATGCTGGATTGTTTCAACCAAACGTCGGGTCAAATATGGAATAACCCAACTTTTGGATTCAAAATTTTATTAAAAAATGTAACCCAACAGCTGGGTTAGTCCATATTTGACCCAAAGTTTGGTTGAAACAACCCAGCATTTTTTAAAGTGAAATATCAGTAAACCAGAAGTTTTTTTCAAACAAGCAGTTCATTCATAGATTTGTACGACCTTACGTTCACGCTGTGGAAATACAAGTGGAAGACAGAAGACAACAAGAGCAGTGCTGAAAAGGTGCGGAGCTACATAAGGTCTCTATCTACTTGAGCATAGGCAAAATATTGAAATTATTTGGGAAGGGAATTTTTGTTTAATTGAGGTATCGCATGGCACAGAGCAAAATATCAATAATATTAATATAAATATCAATAGGACAAATGTAAGACTGTGTCCATTCAAAGATTTGGTGAGTTTTTTTTTTTTTTTTGGTAGTGTGCACTGAAATTAATGCGAGATTTTGGCCTCAGTTATTAAACAGAAAAAGGCTTGAGCAAGAATAAATATTCACCCTCACCTACCATTGTTTACTATTTTTATTTATTTTCTACAATTTTCTATGGAATAGCCTATTGTGTAACGTCTATCAGAACCCTTTTTTTAATGTTTTGAAACTATAGTAGAGCTTTAGGATTTTTTTAAAGAAAGATTTGATTATTTTCCTTGTCCTACAGAGACAAATCAAAATTGGTATCATCCAAATATGTGTTATAGAAGATCAGGGGCCGGGTGCATACACTGTTTAGACTAGTCTTAAAAATGTAGTCACCTAATGTTTTTTTTCTTCAAGACTGGTCATAACTTTTTTTAATTCAGTTATGAAAAGGCTGATTGTTCTTATTTGTATTGGAAAAGTAAGACTGATTCTTGGCAACTGCTAGTTGGTCAAACTAGTTCTTAAGACACAGTCTTAACATGGTGGCTAAGTTTATGCAACTGGCCCCTAAGTTTTAATTTTGTCTTATAAAAAAAAATCCCTTTAGGATCCTTTGGTTCTAAATTAGTATAACAGGAATTCTGAAAAAAAAAGAAAATAAATAAAACTTTTGACAGAGGGATTAATAACAACAGTCAGACGTTAAGTATCCCGTCAAAGTGATTCAATAGAATAAAAGAAAGGCCCTTCAGAAGTAAAGATGCCATGGCATGATTGGACGTCCAGCAGCATTTCAGTGAGCACTTAGGACGAATCCCCATGACGTCACGAGCGGGTGGGGTGGGGGGAGCCTTCAGAAACACGAGAAGAGTCTCTTTCAGAGGAGCAAGTACCAACATGCCCAGACTACGCGACTTCCAAGTAGAGTGCAACAGTATTTAAAAGTCGGAAATTGATCTTTAGCCACAGAGGAGTCTGGCGGCAATGCGGCGACGATGCGTTAGAATCAAGAACGGATCCCTTTAGTGGAATTATTTTCAGCAGAAACCTCTAAAGTTGAGCGAAACCACATAAATGAAGGCGTTTTATACTGAATGGGCGCACAGCGCTTATGCGCGTTTGCGCGTAATGTTCGGTCGGTAACGCTGCGCGAAAACAGCAGCGAACGCTTCGTCGATTCTCGTTTTTGTTCCACTCCCACCTTTATTCAGAATGAACCAGTGTAAAGTCATGAAGGACGGCTATCTGGAGAAGAGGAGTAATGGAGTGCTGCAGCTGTGGAAGAAGAAGCGGTGCGTTCTGTCAGAGGACGGGCTCCGTCTGTACGACTGTAAAGGCGAGAGCGGTAAAGAGATGCTCTTCGAGCAGATGACCACGCTGGACTGCGTGGAGTATAAACGGGGTCTGGTGTACTTCACCATCGTGATGAACGGGGGGAAGGAGATTGACTTCAGGTGCCAGCAGGAGGGCACGGCGTGGAACGCGGAGATCGCGCTCGCGCTGGTGCGCTTCAAAAACCGCGTCGCCGTGCAGACCGGCAGGAACAGACATCTGTCACATCTGGGCAGCTGCGGGGAGGGAGACGTCGAGCTCTGAGGGTAAAGACGACTGATTTTGATGCTGACCGGCGTTTATTCTGGAAGGGCTGCTTGTGTGTTCCTAGCATGGAGAAGCGTTCTCAGGAATCAATTATCCATCTGCTATTCATTTACTGGGTTGAGCTCTATGAAAGACCGCTCTGTCCGGTCTGACACACGGAAAATCATGACTAAATATCCCTTTATAGTTTTGAGAGACTTTACTAAAGGTTTTGTATGAAATAGCTGCCCGACTCAACACCCCCCCCCCCCCCCCCCCCCAAAAAAAAGAGAGAAGAACTTTCAATTCGGAATTTCGATGATAATTTGGAATCAGTTCTAAAAGATCATATTGGGAATTTGCTTAAAATTCAAATTGTCAATATTCCCAAATTCCCAAAACAAAAGCTGGATATTTTAAAGCACATAGCTCCCAATAGGACAATTATATCCATAGGAAACATACTCCTTTGGAATTTAAAGAACATTTTAAAACACCCTAAGTGATTGTCCTGTTATTAACAAGCCATTCATTAATAAATAGTTATAAAATCCTGTTGGATCTTTCATGTTATTCAATAGAATGTTTTAAAACTTATTTGATCCCATTAGAATACTTTACAAATGGTTCCAGATTTTATTAGAAAAATGTTAAACGCATTCTTTAAGGATTTTTATTTATAAAGGCATTCATGCTGAATGAAACGTGGAAATCAGACCAGATATTATATTTTCTTTGCTAATAACAGTAATTTGCAATCATGCATTACAAATACACACAATTTGGATTGTGAGATTTTAGTTTTATGCCATTTCCATTTGTGCATGGAAACATATTAAAGGGGTCATATGATGTTGCTAAAAATAACATTATTTTGTGTATTTGGTGTAATGAAATGTGTTCATGTGGTTTAATGTTCAACATTATTTTCCACATACTGTACATTATTGTTTCTCCTCTATGCCCCGCCTTTCTGAAATGCATCGATTTTTACAAAGCTCATTGGTCTGGCAGCTATCCAGTGCGTTGTGATTGGCCGAATACCTCAAGCGTGTGACTGAAATGTTACGCCCCTCACCATACTGTGATGATGCCCTGTCAGGCCGGAGCGACGAGACAAAAACATGAAAACCCATTATAAACGAGGCATTTGTTGCATCCAGTGGGGACAAAATTACGGTCTTTTTACATGTTGCTTTGCATCGTGCCACGTAAACATAAAACCATGTTTGCATTTGTGATCAGAGAAACGACAAACAACAAGCTCTACTCTACACTGCTCAAAACTCGCGTTTGAATCGTCAGTGGCAAATTCTTTGAATATGAAAACATACTGGGGGAAGACGTGGCCTAATGGTTAGAGAGTCGGACTCGTAACCCAAAGGTTGCGGGTTCGAGTCTCGTACCGGCAGGGATTGTAGGTGGGGGGAGTGAATGTACAGCACTCTCTCCCACCTTGAGCAAGGCACCGAACCCCAACTGCTTCTCAGTGACAAATCCTTTGAATATGAAAACGTACTTACAGGCCGTAAGTCAGAACAGCCGGCATTGTAGTCTACTCTCCCAGGATCAGGAAACAGTCCTACGTAAAATGCGCTGGACACGTCTGAATATTTGGGTTGAACTGTTCTGCAACAGTGTTGTAAATACAACTTAACCACTGATTTCTAGTCGTGTCCTCTTTTGGAAGACCAAACAAAGTAGTTTCGCTTTCACAACGAAACACACAGCGCCTTCACGACATGGCGGCGGCGGTGGCAGCAACAACAATAAAATTACGCCTTCTTTCTTAGCGTGAACATTTGGGCGGTGTTATGCAAATCTTCCCACACAGTGACGTAGATATGTGGGGGTGTGTTTAAATGAGGCATTTTAGGAGGGCGTGGACAAGTCTTAACTTTTATAAAGAATATCTCTTTGGGTTTGAGACTTTAGTCTTTGCAACTTTAGGGATCTTATCTATTCACAACCAGCTTGTAACACTCCAAAGAGAAAGGAAAACTTGAAATCGCATCAAATGACCCCTTTAATAAAAAAAACCTCCAGTGTGCTGAAAAAACTGATTTCACTGGATGAGTCTCACAAGTCTTTAAACTAATGCAGTGTGACTGTTGTATCCCCCAGATTTCTCAACCCAGACGCAGGACTGGATCCAAAAGAGGAGAAACCATGGACTAGAAAGTGAAGGCAGGAGCCCAATGTTAAGAAAACACCTGATGAAAAACGCAGACTACTTTAAAACTCATTTATTTCTTTTCTTTTGTGCTTCCACCATTTATCAAAGTGACACCTCTTGGCATGCTCGCAGATACAGTGAATGGATTTGTACATGTGGGTGTCACGCCATGGATGTTTTGTACACAGTGTCGTTTTTCCATGTACTTTTATTGCAGAAGTCAACAGCAATAGAGACCCAATGGATTGCTCTTCACTATAAATCAATGCTAATTACACTCCTCACAACGCCAGAGTGGATTTTGGCATGGACTTTATACTTTTAAGAGACATATTTACCTCGTGCTAAATGGAGGACTCGCTCTCAGTATTATAAGTGAAAGCATGATGCTGCTTTAGGAGACATTAACCATAGATGAAGTATGATTTACAGCTGCACTGTTTAACATTTCATAAGTATTTGAACCAAATCTGGATTCATTCACTTGTAAAGGATTTTAAACCACACAGAAAGCACGGCAGGCTGCTGTTCCTTGGAATGTATCCCGACTGGACGGAAAACTTGATGGATGTGTTTTTATTTTGTTTTCCTCGGGGCAATGCTGTTATTACTACAATTTTCTCCATTTTCTGCCTACATAACCAGAGCGGTTGCCAACGTTTTATAATAATCGTCTGCATTGTGATGGGTAAAAAAGATTATAGAGGAAATGTGTTCTGCACAAGTCTCATTATACCATTAGGTACACATTGTCTAAATAAAAAGAATGATTTTGTGGCTTTGAAAGACATATCGGTGTGAATTAGTTTGTCGAGGCCCGAGGCAGCAGTGGGATTTTGAATGCTAATTAGAAGCAGTGTTTTAGCTCTCAGTCGCTTTCTCGACTCTCAACCTGAAGTGTCTCTGCAGCACATGCCCGGACAATGGCCTCACTGACTAATAATGTCCCGCCTTGCATGCTTTCCCCAGTTGTCAGTCTCACCGTGAGGCCATCAAAGAAGTTGTCAAACAGGGCTTTTTTTCGTCAAGATGAATGTGTTTTGCTGTTGTGCATAGTAATCTGTGGAAGTGCATGCATTAACAAACTAAGGCGTGAAGGGAAGTGTAGTATTAATCTGAAGCATGCCACAACCGGTTTGTTATCATAATAAATGCCTAAATGAAATCACAGACTGTGAAAAATCCATTCAAAGTCACTGAAAATCTGATGAAATCTTCACATATGCTTCTGCGAAGTCACAACCCAATAATGACTTGCAGATCAGATCCAGTTGGTGGAAAATTATGGTAAATGCAAAGAATTATGCATTGATAAATCACTGCACTTGAAGTAGATAATACCCATCAGTCATTGCACATCAGTATAAGGTTTGACTAAAGTGAAAAGAGTCAAGGGGCCGTCACAATGTTATGATGGTGGCCGTGGACCACATAACAGTTAAAAATACAATAATACCATGTTTTATATTAAACATGGCAACAGACATTTATTAACAAATTTAGAGTTTTTGAGAACGACAAATTCTATTACATTAATATTTAATTAGATGTTTAAATATTAATATTAATTTGTTCAAATATATGTCTATTTTTACGTATATGAATAATATATGCATCAGAGAATCCTGAAAAAAAGTCACTGTTCCCACAAAAAAATATGTAGCAGCACATCTGTTTTCAACGTTAATAATAAGAAATGCTCGTTGACAATAAGCATATTAGAATGATTTCGTGTTTTTTTTTTCATGTGAAAATATGTTTAAATGTGTTCAAATACACAACAGGTTTTAAATTGTAATACATTTTCACAATATTACAGCTTTTACTGTATTTTTGATCAAAAAAATGCAGGGTAGGTGAACCTATATATATATATATATATATATATGTATATAATCTGATAATGACTAATAATGGAACAATTTTCACTGTTATTTAGGCTACATCAGGATTTGCATTTTCATGGGTTTCATGTTTTTTTTTGTTATAAGAGACAAAGACAAAAGCAACATTGTGCATCAAAACCACTCCTTTCCTGGATAAAAAAACAAACAAAAAAATTATTTTAAAGTCAACAAATTTTCAAGAGCTGAATGTAACATTTTTGACAAGCCAAAATGTCAGTCTTTGAATAATATGTATTTTTGAGCCACAAATGAAACTTCATTCCATAAAATAAGTATAATGAACTAAGCAAAATGCATTTTTTTTATAGTTTTTATAATACCCAAACATCAAACACAGTTCACCCCTCATGCATGTTAAAATGTCCATCAGAAACTTAGGCTTGCTGTTGATCGCAATATTAGAACTAAAAACACTGACAAACACACACTCGTAGGCATCAATCGCTGTAACTGTATTTGCATGACTCTGCGTTTCATGATGTTGCAATCCGTTCCAAATTAACTATGCACTTGAGTGAAGTGAACTTCTACTGATGTCCCCTGCTGAGTGAGTAGGCAGCATTGAAGACTGTGTAGGCACCTATCGACTGTCATATTCCACGCTCTCCAGTGTAGCTCTGGTCTCATCTCCTATCCCGATCTCATGAAAGTGCGTATAAATAGTACGCCAAATAAAACTCGTGGTATTGAGACTTTGGCGTGTATATGCTACGCGATGGGTAGGATTAGGGTTGTGGGGTTGATGCGTATCATATGTATGCGAAAACTGCGTATCATATGCACGCCGACAAATTCCGTATCATATGTACGTGAAAACTGCGTATCATATGCACGCCGACAAATTCCGTATCATATGTACGTGAAAACTGCGTATCATATGCACGCCGACAAATTCCGTATCATATGTACGTGAAAACTGCGTATCATATGCACGCCGACAAATTCCGTATCATATGTACGTGAAAACTGCGTATCATATGCACGCCGACAAATTCCGTATCATATGTACGTGAAAACTGCGTATCATATGCACGCCGACAAATTCCGTATCATATGTACGTGAAAACTGCGTATCATATGCACGCCGACAAATTCCGTATCATATGTACGTGAAAACTGCGTATCATATGCACGCCGACAAATTCCGTATCATATGTACGTGAAAACTGCGTATCATATGCACGCCGACAAATTCCGTATCATATGTACGTGAAAACTGCGTATCATATGCACGCCGACAAATTCCGTATCATATGTACGTGAAAACTGCGTATCATATGCACGCCGACAAATTCCGTATCATATGTACGTGAAAACTGCGTATCATATGCACGCCGACAAATTCCGTATCATATGTACGTGAAAACTGCGTATCATATGCACGCCGACAAATTCCGTATCATATGTACGTGAAAACTGCGTATCATATGCACGCCGACAAATTCCGTATCATATGTACGTGAAAACTGCGTATCATATGCACGCCGACAAATTCCGTATCATATGTACGTGAAAACTGCGTATCATATGCACGCCGACAAATTCCGTATCATATGTACGTGAAAACTGCGTATCATATGCACGCCGACAAATTCCGTATCATATGTACGTGAAAACTGCGTATCATATGCACGCCGACAAATTCCGTATCATATGTACGTGAAAACTGCGTATCATATGCACGCCGACAAATTCCGTATCATATGTACGTGAAAACTGCGTATCATATGCACGCCAACAAATTCCGTATCATATGTACGCAAAAACTGTGTATCATATGCACGCTTAAAAAAAAACTAAATTAATTAATCAAATCAAATAATCCAAATATTTTGAGATTAAAAAATCAATAAATAAATTAAAAAAAAATCATTATCATGACCAAATGTTAAAGCTGATTGATTTATTAAATTAATTTATTGGTGGATATAAAAATCGGTTTGAAGTAATAGTTAAAAATTACAATTCTGTCATCACTCATCCTCATGTTTTGCAAAATCAGTATGACTTTCTTGTGGAACAAGAAGATAATTTGAGAGCTGTCTTTGTGTTTTTTGTCCATACACTCTCAGAAAAAAAGGTACAAAAGGGGTACCTTTTCAAAAGCTACTAATATACCATTTAGATATTAGGTACTAATATTAACCTCTTGAGACCCGGCAAAACATTTTAGAATTTTTTCATGTCATTACACTGTTTAGAGCATTAATAAAAATGTAAAAAAATGTTTGAAGTAGTAGAGAATAAGTTTGGCTCTCGGGAAGTAGCTGAGACAGAAAACACAATATAAAAACAAAAAGGCAATAAAACTAATAAAAAAAAACTAAATTAATTAATCAAATCAAATAATCCAAATATTTTGAGATTAAAAAATCAATAAATAAATTAAAAAAAAATCATTATCATGACCAAATGTTAAAGCTGATTGATTTATTAAATTAATTTATTGGTGGATATAAAAATCGGTTTGAAGTAATAGTTCACTCAAAAATTACAATTCTGTCATCACTCATCCTCATGTTTTGCAAAATCAGTATGACTTTCTTGTGGAACAAGAAGATAATTTGAGAGCTGTCTTTGTGTTTTTTGTCCATACACTCTCAGAAAAAAGGTACAAAAGGGGTACCTTTTCAAAAGCTACTAATATACCATTTAGATTTTAGGTACTAATATTAACCTCTTGAGACCCGGCAAAACATTTTAGTATTTTTTCATGTCATTACACTGTTTAGAGCATTAATAAAAATGTAAAAAAATATATATTTCATTCATAAGTTATGCTACGTCCTTGAGGACATCGGGACTCTTTTTTTTTATTTGATAAAAAAGACATGCATGAACATGCATAGGCAAAAACAATAGTTTTTTTTACATTTTAGAATACATTTTTAGTTTTCAGGGATTTTATTATTTTTTTTACCAAACTTTGCATAAAGATAATTTTCAGCTATGTTATAACAAAATGATTTGATATACCATTTGTCTTCATGCAAAATGTGTGTAAAATGGCCATAAACAGGTTTTCTCATTATATATAATGTATCTATAAACCTAATTTGCACATTAATGTGTTTTTGGGGCAACATGTAATGAAAAAAGAAGTGTAATAATGGGAGTAATAATTGACAAGATTTTCATAATAATATATAATATTTCATAGGAATATTGAAATATAATTTCTTTCCCTATTCAATTGTTGCGTCTCCCAAAATGCGTAATAAACATGCCTTTAGTCCCGGTGTCCTCATATGAGGACATGTATGAAATGAACGTCCTGTTTCGTATAACAGAAAGTCATATTTTGATTTGAAACCCCATAACATTTTCCTGAGATGTTGATTTATGACACGCAGTTTAAAAATTAGTCAGATTTAAATGATAATTACAAAATATTGTCATATTTCCATAAGAGTGTCACTAAATTAATATCAGACCTTTTTGAAGACCAAGGAGAGGGAGTGGTCACGGTGAAACATCCAAACATTTAGTATCTCTGAAAAGCCCTGAATGTGCTCTGTACAGGACATCCAGACTTACAACTGTGGCATGTATAGTCTCAGAGAAATGCACTAAAATATGATGTCCTCATATGAGGATGCAGGGTCTCAGGAGGTTAAGGTAGAATATATACCTAAGGTATACATATTTATCTTTTGGGGTAAAATAGGTACCGCCTCAGTGACAGCTTTTGTACCTTTTATTTTTATTCTGAGAGTGTTCAATAAAAGGCAGTCTTTACCAACATTGCTCAAATGATCTTCTTTTGTGTTTCACAGAAGAAATTAAGGAGCAGAAATCTTCACGCTAATGTGCTGTTGATTTTTCTCTTGACTGTGGTTGTCCTGTCTCTCTCTAGACACATTCCAGAAGGTTGTATGCGTCATTGACAGAGGCATGTGAAGAGCAGAGAGACGTGTGTGTGAACCGTGTTAAAATAGCAGATGAGTGTGAGCCTGATGAATTCACCAGGACCCTTTAACCTGCTGCTCATGTGTTTAATAAAACAGAAAACAGACACTTTCCTGAATGATCTCTGCCAATAAAGTGTGAATTCTCCTGAAAGCTAAAGCCGCACTTGAGTTCCAGCATGAAATATTAGACTATTAAAACTCATTACTAAGACTGTGAACTTATGTGTTATATGTATAAATGGAAAGTTAGACCTAATTAGTGCATTGGTACATTTTTGTTCAGCATGTTAGTATATTTTAATTATTCATTAATTTATTAATAATGTACATATTTATTTACATGTGTTCACCGTGTCTTAAATATTTATACAAATTAAAATATTTAATAGGTATATATTTAAGAATATATTTTTTGTTATATTTAGTAAGTTTATTTTTTTTTATTATACTATGTTTTGTCAGGGTTTCCCAAAAGATTGTGGGTGCAGGGGGGTTTGTGAGGTGATGAAAAGCTGATCATTAATTAAATAATTAAAACAGAAAATCAAAATAATAAGCACACACACACACACACACATGTTGTGTTTCCATGTTTTATGGGGACATTCCATAGGCGTAATGTTTTTTATACTGTACAAACTGTATGTGTTATTGCCCTACACCAACCCTACCCCTAAACCTACCCCTTACAGGAAACTTTGTGCATTTTTACTTTCTCAGAAAAACTCATTCTGTATGATTTATCAGCTTGTTTCCTCATGGGGACTGCAAAAATGTCCCCACAAGGTTAACATTTACTAGTTTTACTATCCTTGTGGGGACATTTGGTCCCCATAACGTGATAAATACCAGGTACACACACACACACACACACACACACACACTTAAATATTTTATTTGTTTACTTGAATGTCATGTGACCATCACCCAACATCAGAGAACTGTGAACATGAAAATGTGTTGTTAATTTATTAAGATATGAGCTTAAAATCTCAGGGGTACTTCAAATAAACATTTCAGATCGACAGAGTTCCCTGACAAAAAAGTTTGAGAGTCCCTGAGTTACATAATAAAATGTAAAAAGTTACATTTGATTAGATGAAAGTGCATAAAGATCTCCAGCAGAGGGCAGACTGACTCAAACATCATGTGGACTGATGTTTACGAAGAAGAATTTCTGCAGCTCAAATGGCTATGTAATGTAAACGTTATAATAATATAATATAATATGTCAAATGTAATATATATATATATATATATATATATATATATATATATATATATATATATATATATATATATATATATATATATATATATATATATATATATATATATGTATATATATATACTGTATATATTCCTCATATCTGAAGAAACACTTAGAGAGAAGCATCTGTTGACATGATCCTGATAGATAAAGCCCTGCTCCTGGTTCTCTGGTGCACAGGAGGACTGAATGAATGTCTGATTCTCTGCAGAGTGCGGCTGTTGTTTGATGCCAGTTTGACTTTGGTCTAAATATATTTTCATAACATTGACCCTATATGATGGCAACACGCTGGTTTTTTAATATAAGGTCAGGTCAGGTCTTACAGGCCACTGTATCAAGTGGATTCATAAATCTAACACTGAAATCTGATGATCCTGCTTGACTACTACAGACAAAAACATTGATTCTTCATGCACTGTTTCGTTTTGAGATTTTGGGTTATTCAGCTTTTCATAACTCAGACTAATGGAAAGAAAACATCCTAAATAGACTTTTAAAGGTCCCGTGACATGCTGCTTTTTGGATGCTTTTATATAGGCCTAAGTGGTCCCTAGTACTGTATCTGAAGTCTCTTTCCCGAAATTCAGCCTTGGTGCAGAATTTCAGCCACTGCGAGCCAGTCCCACAATGAGCTTTCCTTAGGACGTGCCATTTCTGTGTCTAGAGCTTTAAATGCTAATGAGGAGGAGAGAGGCGGGGCAAGGTGCTTCGCTCGTTTGCAAGCCACGATGTCTCTCGAGGAAAAAAAAATATTGCGCTCGCCTCGCACGGTAGTAGCTCATTTTCTCATGGGCGGGCCAAATTCTCTGGGCGGGCAAAGCAGAGAAAGGGGAGGTAACCTTTCCCCGTAACACGACATAAAGGGAAGCTTCCAGATTGGGCCATCTGAGCTTTTATTTTCTCAAAGGTGAAGCAGGATACCCAGGGCTCGGTTTACACCTATCGCCATTTCTAGCCCCTGGGGGACCATATTAATGTTAAAAAACCTCATAAAGTGAAATTTTCATGCCATGGGACCTTTAAGTGTTTATTTTATTACACTTTATCTATTTGCGTCTGTAGACTTCAATTACAGTACATATCTTTAAAGCCATTTTATCAACAAAAAAAAATGTCTTCTGCAAAGTCAGAAATCTCTGCTTCAGCAGCACTTACATACACTTATATACTTTACAGTTTTATTCATATCTATATTCTGAGGGTATTCACAGAGGGGTTTGTTCATATGTCATTTGTCTAATTTTATACATACAATTTTATTCCTAAAAAAAAAACATGGTGACGGTATTTTCAGATTTATGGAGTGATAAAACAGATATCTAAAATCAACTTTCTGAAAATATTTAATTCCAATATGTCAATTAATAAATTAAGCAAAAATGTTGAACCTGGCTTTACAATGTTCAGATTGTTGTGGTTAACAACACAAAAAATGTGTTGTTAACCACACAGCCATATTTGAATTTGAATGAAGTAAATAAAATAAGGTATCAAAATCTTGAAAAAAATAAGCACTATTCTCTGCGGGGCGTGTCCGCTGTCAGCGCTGAAGCCACGCCCACTCGCGGAAAAGCCTCTCTGTCAAATACCGCTACAACCTGAATGGATCAGACATGATTTCAGCCCCGCCCAAAAAATCATGAATACAAAAATGGTGAACAACTATTTAATGGCCTAACTCCACGATTCAGTGCTACAGTTCACATATAGTCGTTGTAACGTGTTTCAGCAATACATTTCTAACATTTATAATGTGTTTAGAAACAATTCCCTCAATTGCCTTTCCAAGGACTTTAATGTTTGCAATTCTTAATGTAATTATCAACTGGGGAAAGTATGATTTCTAATGAAAATTGTTACCCTATTCACCCGTGGTGTCTTGCCTTTATCAGGCATACTGTATCTTTAATTCTGCTCCAAAAATACATATTCACTATCACCACAATCATTGCAGATGAGACCATCATGCAGTGTTAGTGTTTTTCTAGGCCAGCATGACAGGATCAGGGGTTGAGTGAGATGTTTCAGCACTGCAGGGGGATCCGTGAGGAGAGGAATGTGGCCCTGCTGCTCGACAGGTGCTGGATTCAAAACACACACATGCAGGCAGACAAATCACAACACACACACACACACACACAGGTTTGTTTTTGTGAAAAGTGGGGACTCCACACACACACACACACACACACAATACACCCCGAGGGGAAAACACTCTTTCTTATGTGAACTTTGATGTAAGACATTAGCATTTATTAGAAATGCAGCATTACATCACCTGCTCACCAATGGATGCTCTGCAGTGAATGGGTGCCATCAGAATGAGAGTCCAAACAGCTGATAAAAACATCACAATAACCCTCAAGTAATCCATAAGACTCCAGTCCATAATAACACTTCCTCCTGTGAAAAAGTCAATCTCCTGTTGTCTGCTCTCACATCAACATCCACCAATATATTTGTTTAGAACTGTTTTGGGCTGTTTTGGCTTGTAAACGTTTCTTGATGTGTACATATTTCTCTCCTGATTCAGACGAAAGGAACTGTAGGAAGCATTATAGTGGATAGTAACGTCTTAATAATGGATTTATTTACGACAAGCACACAACTTATCATGTCACAAGACATTAACTGATGGACTGGAGTGGTGTGGATTACTTGTGGATTATTGTGATGTTTTTATCAGCTGTTTGGACTCTCATTCTGACGGCACCCATTCACTGCAGAGCATCCATTGCTGAGCAAGTGATGCAATGCTACATTTCTCCAAACCTGTTCTGATGAAGAAACAAATTCATCTAAATCTTGGATGGTCTGAGGGTGAGAAAATGTTTCGCAAATTTTAATTTTGGGGTGAACTATTCCTTTAATCCTGACATTTTATTGTTGCCAGATGTTAGTGGACCATGTTAATGGTTGATCTACACCTGAGTTTATTCCAACAGGACACCTGTGTGGAAAAAATCACTGCCAGTAAAATGCCTCAGAAAAGCGCTGTTAGTCCTGAGAAAATCTCTAGCAACATATGTTTTGATATTTTATAAGTAATACAATGACATTCTGAACTAAGAGTGGCTTAAGTGTCCAAATACTTTTTGGAGCCACTGCATATTGACATTTCACAGCATAGCAGACGAATCAGCTCTGAGCAGATAAACTGGCACAGCAGACAGATAGTAAAGAGCCGTGGAGCCATGAGATGAACTGAACGTGTAAGGAGAGAGTGAAAGATTTGCGCTCTAATAATATCCTCCACTGACAGATTAGAGATACAGAGACGCTGTGGGTTAAATAAGAGGACACATCTCTATTCTGTTATCAATAATCAGCTTGAGGACAACACAATACAAACCCACATTGTAAGGTAAGATACTTCTACTGATGGGACATCTGCTGATCACAAGAGACATTGAAAAAATATATATTTCATGATAAACTAAATGCAAGCGGTCTTCCGTTAATTTTGAGGTACTCTTGTTTTTTTGTTTATTTAGTACATTTCTATATTTAACATCCAGACACTGTTTTATTGTCTTATTAATGGCTTTTTGAAATAGTGAAAGTCTCATTTTATCAGCGTTCTTCATCCTGACATTCTCATAACTTTCATAATTAATAAAGTCTCTCGTAATGGTCAGGTAATTATATGGGTTATTATGATGCATTAGAGAAATATAATTTAATATAATTTAATAATTCAGTTGGTGTAACTCTTCAAGAGGAGGACTACTGTTTATTGTGAATAATTTCTGCAGATAAATGTAATAATATAATCTAATCTGATATAATATAATATAATAAATTTACCCTACATAGGACAGTTGTTCTGTGTTGATATTTGTGAGTAATTGACCGTTTTCTTGCAACCTTAAGCATTTATTTTTTTCCAAAATGTACCCTTCACCAAATGCTTTACCTCTTTAGATAACTTTCTTTTTGTGGAACCGGACGGGTCCAAATTCTTGCTCTTGTATTAATCCACCTTAGAAAGTAGTAGGATCACTCATGACTTTGTTTGAGGGGTGTTTCGGTCACTGACTAGAGATATGCAGAAAATGTGAGTGGGTCAGAGGAGGTTAGGATGTGGCCGTGATGTATTCCTAAATTCAGTCAGTGGAAATTCAGTGGGAGTTCAATTTGATTTGATGTATCAAATGCATCTAGAAATCACTGAATAAAATGATTTTGCTCTCTTTTAGTTGCCAAGATGCCTGAACAAGGGTAAGTGTGGATCTTTAATACCAACAATAAACTCTGGTAATAAGTTGTCAGTATATACTAATGTACATTGTATGCTGTATTTTCAGGCAAGAGGTAAGTTATGCATTATTTTTTTCTAACAAATCAACTAAAACTTTGATTATTTGATCATCTGTACTACCTGTACTGTGGTATAACTTTCACATTTCTGGCCCAGAGGAAGTCCAAGATCTCAGCCTCAAGAAAGCTTATGCTAAAGGTTGGTTTGCAACACGTATAAATTCAACATTCACATTAAAATGTATCATTGTTTCCCTCTCAACAAGCAGCAATATTTGAGATTTAAGATTTTAATACTTGGAGGTTAGAGGTTTGTTAAAATCACTAATTCATAAGAAGAATAGTCTTTTTTTTAGTCAATAACACATCACTAGATGTCTTAACCAAGATAATGTTGGGACTGTCCCAATTCCACAATTCTAGTCTTAAAAGTAAGTGTGTACCAGGACTGAAAAATGCCAAAGCTCAGTGCCCTTAATGAACACTAAATCCAGAATATCTCAAATTATGGCTTCAGAGCAGTATTTGAGGCTAAGCGTATACCATCATTCATCATATTAATTAATATATTACATATAATCTGGTAGTAAAACACTTGCAACTGATTTGTATCACTTAATTGGAAGCACCACAATTAATAAGCAATGTCTTGTGTTACATAGGGATACTAAACAGAGATTAAGAAATTTATTTTAAAGTGCAAAGTATTGAAAACCAAAATGTGGCTCTGTAAAAACTTTACTTGCATTTTTATACAACACTGTAAGTGTGTCCCATCAGGTAATTAAACATTCTACACACTTGTGGTCCCACTTGAACACTTGGGCTAAATACCCAAAATATGCCACAGAAGTAGACAAGTTGTCAAACGCAAAGACCACGGATTGGGTATTGGGACAGTCACAGGCCCATTGACATGTATATGTGTGTGGTTTCAGAGTTTGATGGTGGCCAAGGCCAAAGAGGAGCTGGATCAGGAGATGTTGGATAAAGAGGAGGAGAAGCAGAGGTATCTGCTGGAGAAAATTCCTCCTCTGCAGACACAGGGCATGTCATTCACTGAGCTTCAGGTAACCATGCTAAATGAAGTCCCCCTCCAAACTTACAGTTTTGCTAATTTGGTGCCACACAAAAATCATCACGACTTGAAATCTAATGGTACAATCACTGCTGCTTGTGCTACTGCAACCATTGCTCATTTCATAAGGCTGATGCAAATGTCTTGCCCAATGCCTTTCTTAATTTGACTAATTGCAATGTAAATAGCCAACCATGGGCATTATTATGAGATGTATGTTTGAGTGAAACGATAAGTAGGAAAATTGCCATTTGATATTTGGTTTCTTATAACAAAAGACCTTTCTGGTTGAGCTTTTATGTTGTTAGTCGGCACCCTGTGTAATATAACACGCATTCACATAAAGAAAAGGATTCCTGAAATTCAGTTAACATTTCTGTCTCTTTTAGGAACTCTGTCAAGAGCTTCATGCTAAGATTGATGTGGTGGATGAGGAGCGCTATGATATTGAAGCCAAGGTCTTACTGAATAAGCGTGAGGTATGAAAACCACATAAGCCATAGTTTAATAACCAGCTGGACAATGTCACAAGTCACTGTCTCCATCTGCTCTATTTGTAGGCTTCTAATATTAGTGTGCAATTCTTTGTGATTGTGATTTCATGAAAAGGTGGCAGATGTTTTTTTTTACATAGGTATGGGCTATGAGCTGCCTTGCTGTCTACTCCCTACATAGGCCTAGTCAATTGCCTTCTAAGGGAAGATACGAACTGAAATGGAATCTAATTAGATACAATGTAAATAGACTACAACTGTGTCATACAAAATGTGCTACTCATGGGAATCAACTCCCAATTGATTCCAGTACAGTTTGGCATTAGCATGTTGCTAAGCTAACAACATGGGACTCTAATCAGCATAAAAATGACATCAAAGTACACACAAACATTTGCTAAAATAATACATTAATTAGTATTAAATGTATTTAGACATACTGTTCACTTTTGAAAGAATTTTGTTCATAATTGACATTTCTCTTGCTTCACTTGCTATCTTGCATGGATTTTTACATTGCAGTGCATTATGGGATTGCCATCTCCACAACAAATACGTGAGCTGTGTTTGAAATCACACACTGTCTGAGTACTACAGTGCTGCAGTACAGTATGAATGTGTGTAGTATGAATTTAATCCAGACATACTACATCATGCTGTCACTAGCTGTTTCCATCCAAAGCTGCAAATTTAAATTATGCGCAAAATTGGAATATCACATAAAACATTTGCATCACCGTTTCCATCCAGCGAGATGAAGAGAACAAAATTGTCACTTCTTGATAAACTGGTGCCAAATATCATAAAATAAAATAAAAAAGTATTCTCAGTATGAGAAGCCACTGCGGGTCTTAATCATATAATAGCAATTTATTCGGTAAATGTGTTTCCATCGTGGTTTATGCATGTTTTATTATCGGATAAAAAATTTATCCGACTCAGTTGAGTGCATACGTTTGTTATGCATATATTTTAGACTCCATGCGTATCTTGGCATTTCCATTCAGCATTTGCACCAAAATGCACATCAAATCTTTTTTTGTCTACTGTTTTATGAATAAGAATTCAGAAAATACTATTCAATTCAAAAAAGGTAGCAATGCTACCTTTGAACCTGTGAAGGTATAATTATGCTATCTATGTAGTGAGCTCACTAGCTTTTGGAACAAAGCCTTAGTGTGCATATATGTATATAGATATCTAAGCAACTAAACAAATGACCGTCCATCCTCTAGGTCAAAGACCTGAACATTAAAGTTCTGGACCTGAGGGGGAAGTTCAAGCGGCCCACCCTGAGGAGGGTGAGGGTTTCAGCAGACGCCATCCTCCGATCTCTCCTAGGCTCAAAGCACAAAGTCTCAATGGACCTACGAGCCAACCTCAAATCTGTAAAGAAAGAGGATACTGAGAAGGTATGACGTCATCTGAACATGTGAAGTTATTTGACCAAGCCATTCAAGCCATGTCAAATGGGTATGTCGATACGAATGAAACCTTATAAAACAAAACTATACACAAGTAGAAACATCATGGAACGTTCCATGTAAGATAATGGGAGGAAACTGTTAATCCTTCAAGGTTACGCCAGTGAAAACATTACTAACCTTCTAACCTTCTATCTGGACTGGCACTTGGACAAGTTGTGGATCGAGCAATAGGCAATGAAAAGAAACAATGTACCCTGACTATTCAGAGCTTAACAGAGCTCAGACAGAAGGTTGACATCACCAGAAGCAGCTGTTTGAAAGGCAGAGGCTCATGGGATATGAAGCGGAGGAGTAAAAGGCAATGATTTTAGAGTGCAAACAGTGACAATGTTCATTCTTTTCAGCGTTTGTCTTGAATATAATGCAGGTTGGGTGTTGTATGACAGACACGAGAGTGGACAACAGAAGTATGGTACACAAAAAGAAAAGCTTTTGTGTGGATGTGTAGTTGACTTCAGTGGAAATAACCTTTTTTTAATTGTATTTATTTGATCAGAGAGATGAAACGCAACACAAGAGACAAACTCTTCAATAGTGTAGCGAAACCAGCAAATTAAATGGCTGTTCAATTGAATGTCTTTGAACTGCACCAGTCGCATGCCATCGATTACCCAGCAGTGGACAGTATTTTTACATTTTAACTTTTACTTGTCTCCATTCTGAAGCATAATATTGAACCTTTTACTTCATAAAAAAAACATATTATTCCCCGTTATTTCAAACTTTAGAGTTCAGCTCCTGCTTCAACACATCATAAAGATGTCTGATTTGTGAACGAGCTGATTCGTTTCAATGGACATATTGAATCAGTTTGCAAATCGCACTGAATGATTCATTCGCGAATGGCCTAAACCAGTTATCGGAGCTGTTCACATGCCAACAAACAACTTATTGATTCAATGATCTGGTCAGACAAGTATCCAGATAAAGTCGGCATGAAATCAAAAGCAAAACTTGCGTTCATCTGCATTCATTTGAGTGCCACGCCCACATCTCAACATCCAATCAACTACTACCATAGAACCAAGTCCCAGCCCTACATTTTTTCTTTTTCGATAATCCATTAGATTCAAATTTCCATCACAATACGTTCACATCTGTCGCTACTTCTGTTTCATTGCGACTTTCTTTGCAACTAACAATCCACTGAATTGTTCATGTCTGACTCAAAATGTGCCAAGATCAGCGAGATCCTCAGAACTTCAGAAACTTGCAAGCAAGCGACTCATTTCTTACTAATTTCGAATATTACTATTAAAAACTTTCAATCATTTAATCAGAATACATGGCTACTTTTGAATGACCAGAAATATGCTTTTTAGAACTATACAGTGTATTTACAACATCTACCAGCAGGGGCTAGTCATCTTGCTAACCAGCTTAACTCTATCGATTTATATGCTGTTTAATGAGCGTGTTATTTTACACATGCATCTGCTTACATATGCGATTGCTAGTTTCTGCTTCTTCTTCACTGTTTTGATCCAGAGATTCAGTACTTCTTCAGAGGATGTGTAATAGCGCCCCCTACCGTCTCGTAAATGACGGAAAATTCCATCAATGGCGGGGAAGTCTTTAAAAAAATATCCCATTTTCCTTTGAAATCTTTCATTCAAGTGGAATCACCCAAAAGGCTAAACCCAAATTAATTACAGTGATATTCAATGGAATTTCTATAATTTGCCGATCATAAAATCATGTTTAAAAACAGCTAGTTAGTAGTAACCCTTCTGTTTCTTTCTGCAGAAGAGGCCAGTTGAGGACAGCGACTGGAGGAAGAACGTGGAGGCCATGTCTGGTATGGAGGGAAGAAAGAAGATGTTTGATGCTGCAAAAGGCCCCACCCAGTGAAACCTTGTCTAGTAAAGTTAACACACAAGATTATGCAACTTATTGTTCGGCAACTAAAAAGGATTAGGTTTAGAGCTACATACTAAATATACTATTAAATACCAGATATACTGTTATTTCAGATGTCGCTGATATTGTAATTCATTGCAACTGCTCAGCATTGGTGCAAATGGCCAATAAGTAAATAATTACTAGCTTAGTTTATATTTTATTATGTCAATATTCAGTTATTAGGAAGAGTCAATGGAAGGTGTACCAGTGCATTATTAGGATAAACAATAAAAGAGAAATATTTGTTGATGTACAAGGCTCATTATATAAGTTTAATCTTTCCAAAAGATTCCCATGCTCAGTTTGGCATGTTTCTCTGGTAGTCTGGCTGCGAATTATTGTTTACGAAAGCTTATAATCCTGACTTGCAGTGCTGAAATTAAACACATAAAATAAAAAGCACAAAAAGCTCATCCAAACTGTATGTAGGTATGTACTTGCAAAAAAAGTGTATACTAACTCAGCCAGGATAGTGTGATAATGTCGTTTTGCATGCTATATAACAGTAAAGTAGCTGAAGAATTTAAACAGATGTGCAGTGTTTCTTTGTTTAGTCTAATTTGATGCAAATGCTTAAAATGCTATTGAATAGGATCCTGCAGGAGATAGGGAGCTCGTTCAGGAAGTGAAGCGTTAACTATGAAGGCTGTCATTTGAAGACAGTGGACTCCAACCCTTATTTGCATAGTGGATATCTCTGTCTTCCCTGTGTTGGCATTGGGTGGGGTGTTCAGGCCACTTATGCATGCTGTACTTATTTAATGTTTAACAGTCAAAGTTTATTGTGACGCTCCTTACTTGGAATGCTTTTTCTCTCTACTTGCATGAGTGAATATAGAGGCAATTGTAAACTAAACAATATAGCGGAAGCATGTCACCAGATTTGTCATTCCAGTGCAGCTGCCAATTATTTCCTTTAAGACCAAACCCTGTGGTATACTGGATAGTCTACTATGGCTTTCATATCGCTCTGGCCAAAGTACAGCAGGTCTAGCTGTCTCTTATAGGTGTGGCACAGGGAATAAAGCAAACACCTCCAGCCTTTGAGCTTCAATGGATTCTGAACTGTAGAGCAAATGCCACTGTGAACAATGACATAAAGTGATGCCCTATATGCTTGACTTCATGTAAAATGCTGTATTCACGTAAGAGAAGGTTTCAAAATGTAACATTGTTTTGAAACCGAGTACATTTAAGTAATACTATGAAACAATGCAACCAAACTAAATTCAAGAATGAGTTGACAGCATGAAAAAAATAAAATGTTCCTATTACAAACTGTATTACAAGGATGTCATTGATTTATAGTAGGAATGGTCTTTATTTTGTTGAGTCACTCATGTGACAAACTTGATGATGAAAAACAAAGTATATGTAATGTTATAGGTAAAATTTTGTGTTTTTGTATTTTTTAATATATTTTTTAAGTATTCTAAAATACTTAAGGCAAGTAATGTAATGTAACAAATATATTTTAGTTATTATTTTGATGAAATATTCGGCTTCTAGCTTTCTGACATTTCATAACTAAAACCATTATGTTTATATTGATAAGTATATATAATGTAAAATGTCAATATATTTTAGTTATTATATATTTTTGGCCATTTATACCATTGCTTCTAGCTTTTTAACATTTTATTTAACTAAAACAATATAAGTTTTGAGTTTTCTCTGGGGATACAAGTCATATTTTAGTTATTTAGTTAAAATACTCTAAAAAATATATAAGGAAAATAATATTTCAATATATTTTAGTTATAACATATATTTTTGGCCATTTATTATATTGCTTCTAGCTTTTTGACATTTCACATAACTAAAACAACATATGTTTTGAGGTTTCTTTCTCAAGCAGGCTAGCTATAGTTTGTTTACTTATTCTACATCTTATTCAAATACATGTTGTATCCAGACTGAAGATGGTCACGTGATGCGGCTCTGGGGAAGGTGGGGGGTAAAGGTGGCTCACAGACACAGACACAGCGAAGAGCGCGACACTTCACACTCTCACTCCAACCGACTTCAACACAACAACACAAAAATAATGTCTATTGGCCGGAAAAACTGGTCTGCTTTGTCAACGTAAGTAGATACATTTAGCGTTTATTCTGTTTGGTCTGAACGGTTTTTGCGGTTTCTGACAGGTTGCAGAAGCTGAGGTGTCAGTGTTTATACTGATGTTATGAATGCTTGTGCTATGGACATTTGCACTTAGAAGTATCAGAACTATAAGTGGAATGCAGTTATTTTTAGGGTTTCTACTTTTTATTTCTTCGCTCTAAATTTTGTAAATAAAAATAATAATAATAATTTAAAAAAATCAAACCTTAAGATTTTGAAATAAGCAAAAAAGCCAAAAGGGCACTTACGTTTCAGAAATATAGCACCCAGGGCAACACTTCCAATATAATATTCAAAATTTACTATCGTCATCAAGTGCATTTTGGATGACAACTTTATGACTGAAATAAAAACTGAAAGACTGGACATGCAGTTGGAGTTTGTGCTGCAGGTTGTGATTATTTTGACAGTCTATGCACTCAAATGGAAAGTAATGTCATGCTTTCAGACTGAAGGCATTGAGTATCCTTTAACCAAAACAGAGCTTGACAAACCAGTTATTGCACAATGAAACACTGTTTTCAACCTGAAACACAATAGTCCACCTCTGGGATATATCATCGAGACCTTTGATCGTAATGCATCTTCTCATACTTTCAAAAAGACTGACAGAATGGATTTCAGTAGTCAGCAGCTCAGCACGTCCCTGCCGTTTCTGCCATGTGAATAGAGCTTTAAATCAGTTCAATGAAAAGTTTGAATGAAATGCTTTTATAACGTTTCACTGAAATCGAAAGTGGTTGGAGGCAAACGTTCCAATGTTTTTAAAGCTTTCAGGCAATATGGGCAAAACCTATATGTTGGGGATGCAGTAGTATAAGATGATCTAGCTTAGTTTCTACCTATCGTTTAGCATCAGTGTTCACAGAAAAGTGGAATGCTGAAAACCGTACGTTTATATGTGTTTTAAATGTGTGATGTGTTTGATCTTCAGGCTGGCTCGACAGTGGACTGTGGAGGATGAGGAAGAGGTGGAGAGAGAGAAGAGGAGGAAGACAAGGGAGTCTACGGCAGACACGGATGAAAGTCCCATTGAAGAGAACAAACCACAAACCAGTAGGTGCGAGATCAAAAAAGGACATAATTACAGAGAAAACCCAACTTTAGACAACATTAATAGTGTATTTACGCTCTCTCTTTCTACTTCAAATTGCTTAAGAGCTGTAATTGGCTTGAGACTCGAGTGATATATATCAAATTTAGGCAAATTTTGTGTTAAATATTTGCATGAAGCAATTGACCTTACAGAACATAAGGATGAGCGCTTCAGAGAGATTTAGATAAAGGTTTATGGTATCATAAAAGCGAATATGAATAGGATCTACATGTAATGTTGTAATTTGGTCTCATAATACCATGTGTGGACACTGCCCATGTTTATCAGGAAAAGCAGTTTGCCCCAAAATAAGAGTCTTGTCTGATTAACAAGTTTAGTTTACAAGTATAGTTTCATCTGATGTTCCAAAATGTCTCCCAGTGGCAGAAATGGGTGATGAATCTATCAAAGTACAAAAACAATGGAATTCTGACCCCCATGGAGGGGAACAGAAAAAAAGATAATCTCAGTTTAGTAGTACTGTCATCTCTGTGTAAAAAAAACAGTCTGCATAGTACCTTGTGAAATCATTTGTATTGAATGTGCACTTGTAGTGTACTTCAAATCTTAAAAGTATATCATCATTACAAATGTATAATTACAAATATATTTAAATGATTCAATAGAAATGGCATTAAAGTATGTTTTATTTTACCATCAGTGCTTGTCAGTACATTCAGCAGTACATTTAAACCATATTTCAAAGAAAACAGACTTATGAAATTACATATAAAGATGTACTAAAGTGGTTCAAAAACAGCACTCTGAAGTTGCATTTAATATACTGTTCATTTAAACTATAATACATTTTCATTTAATTTCAATTAACATGCAAGTGTTAATAAAACAATGCATTCAGTTTACACTTATATTCTTTTAAAGTGTATTATTTCTCTAATAAGTGGTCTTTTTAAAAATATGAAAGGGAAGTTGTGGCCTAATGGTTAGAGAGTTGGACTCGTAACCCAAAGATTGCGGGTTCGAGTCTCGTACCGGCAGGGATTGTAGGTGGGGCTGCCATACCATGACTAAGGTGCCCTTGAGCAAGGCACTGGACCCCCAACTGCTGCCCACTGCTCCGGGTGTGTGTTCACTGCTGTGTGTGTGTGTGTGGACTTTGGATGGGATAAATGCAGAGCACTAATTCCGAGTATGGGTCACGTCACTTTAATATGCTGAAGGTTTTAACCCCTTAAAGTCTTAAACCCCGTATGAATGCATGAAAATGAATTTTCAAAAGCCAACATGGCGTCAAAACTCTAAACAACGTCTCACTAATATAATGTTTCCAGTGTTACCGAGCCTGCTGATGCTGGCGACTCCGGTGGCGGTCTGGCCCAGCTGCAGCTGGATTTTGTGGAGATGTTGCGAGTCCGTGACGAACGGCGGAGGATGAGGCACGTTGAAACCCTGAGGAAGAATAAGGAGGAAGATGATGATGGCAGAGAGGGTAGCCCGGATAAGGTGCCCCATGTGGAGCTGCTGGGGGAACAGCAGGACGAGGAGCTCTTCAAGAGCGTGCAGCGCTGCGTGGAGACCTTCATGTCACCAGAACCTCCCGCCAACTCCAGAGACTCAGAGACACAGGAGAAGGTAGGAAGACATGGGTTCTCAATGTACGGGGAAGTTGTGGCCTAATGGTTAGAGAGTCGGACTCATAACCCAAAGGTTGTGGGTTCGAGTCTCGTACCGGCAGGGATTGTAGGTGGGGGGAGTGAATGTACAGCACTCTCTCACACCTTCAATACCACGACTGAGGTGCCCTTGAGCAAGGCACTGAACCCCCAACTGCTCCCCGGGCGCTGCAGCATAAATGGCTGCCCACTGCTCTGGGTGTGTGTTCACGGTGTGTGTGTGTTCACGGTGTGTGTGTGTTCACTGCTGTGTGTGTGTGCGCGCACTTTGGATGGGTTAAATACAGAGCACTAATTCTGAGTATGGGTCACCATACTTGGCCACATGTCACTTCACTACAGTGGTTCTTCTGTGTGATGTGATGCTTTTAGAGGATGTTTGCAGTGAAAGTGTTCTGAGGTCAGTTTGGGATTACTGAAACAGTAGATGTGTTCCACAACCTAGTGAGCTGACAACTTTGAGAGCACTGTCATTGTAAATGCAGACTGATATATTGTCATCAGCCGAAAGCTGTGGCCAATTGGCCAATGAACACTAGAGAAGTGGTTCTCAACTGTTTTGACTTCAGTTTCCGCAGTGTCCACAACAATATTTCCCAACCCTGTTTCTGGAAGCACCCCATCACTAAAAGTTTTCAGAATCATCCTAATCAAAAGACATCTGAATCAACTCATCAGCTCATTAGTAGAGACTTCAGTACATGAAATAATGGATGGGTCAGATACGAGAGACATCCGTACTATGTACTGCTAGGGTGACACCAGGATATTCGAAAGCCAGACAATCCTAGTTTCTGTAAATTAAATTTAAGAACGCCAGAAATTGAAAGCGGCATGTTCTTTAAGGTTCTCACTTGATATAACCAATATATTGACATGCGTATTCCAGTTGATTATGATTTCCAATTGATTAGGATTTTTACAGTACTTTTATAGTACCCAATAAGATATTTTAGATCTTGGCATAACTAGAAAAATGTATTTTGATTATAAAATTTCCCATGGAGTTTTAGGATTTTATTAATTGACATGACTTTTCCAGGTCTAGAAATCACATTTAATCACATTAGTCATTTATTCAAGTTTTCCATGACTGTGGGAACCCTGGTGGTTCTTACAAGAAAAAATAAATAAAAATGTTGATGAGGTTAATTAACATAAGACATATATTGACTTGTAGTTATTTTAACATTTGTCTTATTTCAATTAATTTAAGTTCCCCTTATATCAGTTCCAAAATCTACCAACTGCTTCATCAGCGGACAATAAACAATTATATATATTTTTTCCTTTAAGTAGTTAGTAGTAGTTATTATTTATTTTTATTGCCATGTCAGCATCTAAGGCTATCTTCATGGCAAAAACTGAGTTGCAATAATACAAGAGTTACAT